CTGCAGCCTACGCCGTCTCCGGCGACTCGCAGCAGCCCAGCTCCAGGTTGAGCTGTTGTTCAGCATCTTAGCTGTGGAGGGCAGTGTCACTGGCCTTCATATGTGGGATCCGAACCGGGGCCCTCTGGCGTCCCAAGCCAGTTCTTAACCATCGCGCCACTCGGCTGGCCCTGTCTCTTTTTTTTTTATTTAATTTTTGATATTAACAGCCAACATTTATTGAGCACTCACTGTGTGATGACTATTATACAATTTAATTGTCATAGCAACATGTGAGGAAAGTTTAATTATTAACTTGTTTTTGCAGATGATGAAACAGATGCTTAATGAGGTTAAATAACCTTGGTCACTTGGCCAGAAACTGGTAAAGCCAGGGTTTAAGCAGATTATCTCATTCCTGAGTGTATACTCTTTTTTCTTTTTTTTACATTTTATTTTATTTTATTTTCAGGTGTACAACACAGTGCAATAGTTATACTTTTTACCCCTCAAAGTGACAATCTCCCTCCCTCAATCCGCCGCCCCACTCCCCCCTAACCCCCCAATATCATACATATCTATTAAAATTCCCTTGACTCCACTCCCACACTATACTCCACGTCCTGTGACTATATATGTATTAAATTATAGTTGACATACAATATTATACAATATCAGCTTCTGGTGTACAGTGTGATCAAGCTGCTATCTTTGTCTCTTTATACATTCTTTGCTTTAAAGTCTGTTTTGTCTGATATGATAAATATTGCTCTCCCAGCTTTTTTTTTGTTTCTATTTGCATGGAATATCTTTGTCCATCCTTTCACTTTTAGCCTGTGTGTGTCTTTCAATCTAAAGTGAGTATCTTTAGGCAACATATAGATAGGTCTTGTTATTTTTTTATTCATTCAGCCACCTTATGTCTTTTTATTGGAGAATTTAGTGTACTTACTAGAGTAATTATTAATAGGAATGTGCTTGTTGCCATTTTGTGAATTGTTTTTGTTGTTCTCTGTTCCTTTTTTCTTCTTTTGATCTCTTTCCTTTTGATTGGCTAGTTTTCTTTGCATTTTGTTTTGGTTCCTTTCTCTTTATTTTTTCTATTTTTTTTTTGGTAGGCTTTTGGTTTCTAGTTACCATGAGGTTCATATAATATTGGGTTATTGGAAAAGTCATGATGCATTTTTGCCATGAAAAACATAGAAAAAAATACATCATTACTTATCCGACAACCCAATATATATCTGTCTATATCTATAGCAGTGTATTTTAAGTTGATAGGTAGACGTTTAAGTTCAAATACAGCATTTTTAATTGCCAAATATTGAAAACAACCTAAATCTCCAATAAAATAGAAATTAAGTCAGTTGTGGTACAAGCAAATAGTGAACTATTATGCAGTCACTAAAAATGACTTCTGGAGAGATAGTTAATGATGTTGGGAAATGCATGTATCATGTTAAATGAAAAAAAAGGATTACTAAGAGAGTGTGATCTCAGTAGGAAAGCTCGATAGAGAGGTTGAAGAAACCCTAAAAGAAAGTGCTTCATATTGCTATTTCTGGTGATAGGATAGATTTATAAGTGGTTTTTCTTTGTACTCTTCTAAATTTTTCAAGTTTTCTACAATATGCCTATGTTATTTGGAATTTACTGAGGTGTATTAAAAGTAAAAATAGGCTGAAGTATAAAATACCTCCCCCCCTCCAAAATATGCAAATATTTTAAATGAGTTGAGATTTCCTGGTAACTAGTCATTGTGTGCTGTCTTTCCAGATCGTCTGGCGAGACTGCCGTCACTGCGTTTGAGATTGACAAGATGTACACCCCCTTGCTGTTCGCGAGAGTGAGGAGCTACACTGCTTTCTCAGAGAGGCCGCTGTAGAGCCTCACGTCCAGTCCTGTCAGTGTTGCATGAGTTAAAGCATATAGCGCAAAAGAGCACCTAAGTTATAAATGTACATATATATATATATATATCTGGAATTGAAACTTATTTTACATTGTTGGAATTCTTTTAAGAAGAGTATAAATTGATTATTTTTTTTATTTAAAGGGATAGTTGATTCTTGGGGTGTCTTGTTTTTGAAATTAAAAAGCTGAGATTACATGTTGTTTAAGCACATTTATGTTGTGAAAAACCTTAATATGAGCTTTAAATCATGTCCTTTTTGAGCAGATTCCTGAGCGAATTTCTGCCACATAAGTCTTCTTCTGCCTGATTATCCCAATATTTAAATGCGTCAGGGAGAGCTTTATTGGATAAGCATTTCTTTCACGCATGACATAGTGTCTTTTTGCACTAAAGACTCAAAATGTGAAAACCTGTTCTGGATTTGTTTGAAACTATTTGACCAACAAAGATCATAAATAAATGTTTCTTTCAAGAAAATATATTTGGATGGCCTGTTTTTAGCGTCAGAATAATAAACAGCCCTAGGATAGCAGGCGAAGGCTTAAGAATCATTGCCTCATGTCATCATTGGTCTTTAAATGTAGCCACAGACCATAGAGATCTATACTCTGACCTCATCCAATCACCTTATAAATGTGTGACGGTAAGTGAGAAAGAAAGAGTCCCTTAGGACTGGAGCTCTTCAACAAGTTCACCCAGTCACCTTTATTCCTAAAAGAACAGTAGAGGATCATGTAAACCCAGGCCTAACTCTTTTTCCAGAGTTAAAGTTGGGACAGCGTCTGCCACTGAGTAATCTGTACATTACCTCTCTAGTAACAATACTAGTNAAAAAAAAAAAAAAAAAGCAATAGTATTTGTCTTTCTCTGCATGACTTATTTCACTTAGCATAATATCTTATAGATCCATCCATGTTGTAGCAAATGGCAAGATTTCATTTTTTTTTTATGGCAGAGTAATACTCCATTTCTATACACACACACACACACACACACATCACATGTTTATCGCTGGGTCCTTAGGGACCCTCCAAGCTGTTTTCTATGGTGGCTGCACCAATTTGCAGTCCCAACAGCAGTGCACAAAGGCTCCATTTTCTCCACATCCTTGCCAACACTTGTTTGATGATTTATTGATGATAGCATTCTTACTGGTGTGAGGTGGTATCTTATTGTGGTTTTGATTTGCATTTTCCTGATCTTAGTGATATTGAACATCTTTTCATATGCCTGTTGGCTATCTGTATGTTTTCTCTGGAGAAATGTCTCTTCGTGTCCTCTGCCCATTTTTTTATATCAACTCCTTATTGGATATATCATTTACAAACATCTCTCATTCGGTAGGTTGACTTGTTATTTTGTGTGGAAGCTTTTTAGTTTGATGATATCCCATCTGTTTATGTTTGCTTTTGTTTCCCTTGCCCAAGGGGACATATCCAAAATAGTATTATTAAGATTGATATCTAATAGTTTACTACCTTTTTTTTTCTGTGAGTTTCATGGTTTCAGGTCTTACATTTAAGTCTTTAATCCATTTTGAGTTTATCTTTGTATATGGTGTAAAAGAGTGGTTGAATATAATTTTTTTGCATGTACTGTATATGTCCAGTTTTCCCAAAACTTGTTGAAGAGACTGTCATTTCTCCATTGTTTATTCTTGCCTTGTTTGTTGTAGATTAATTGACCATATAAGCAAGGGTTTATTTCTGGGCTTTTTATTCTCTTCCATTGATCTATGTGTCTGTTTTTGTGCCAGTACCATACTGTTTTGATTATTATAGCTTTGTAGTATAGTTGGAAATCAGGGAGTGTGATACCTCCCACTTTGTTCTTCTTTCTCAAGATTGCTGTGGCCATTTGTGGTCTTTTATGATTCCATATAAATTTTAGAATTATTTTTTCTAGTTCTAAGAAGAATGCCATTGGTATTTTGATGGAGATTGCATAGAATCTGTAGATTGCTTTGGATAGTATGGTCTTTTTTATGGCATTAATCCTTCTAATCCATGAGCACAGTATATCTTTCCATTTATTTGCATCCTCTTCAGTTTCTTTCTTCATTGTTTTATAGTTTTCAGAGTACAGGTCATTCACCTATTCAGTTAAATATATCCCTAGGTATTTTTATTATTTGATGCAATTGTAAATGGAATTGTTTTCATAATTTCTCCTGATGATTAATATTAGTGTATAAAAATGTGATGGATTTTTGTATATTAAGTATCTTGCTACTTAACTGAATTCATTTATTCTATTAATATTTTGGTGGATTCTTCAGGGTTTTCTGTATATAATATGTCATCTGCAAATAGTGAAGTTTACTTCTTCCTTTCCAATTTGGATGTCTTTTCTTTCTTTTTTCTTGTCTGGTTTCTGTAGCTAGGACTTCCAGTCCTGTATTGAATAATAATGGTGAGAGTGGACATTCTTTTCTTGTTCTTGATCTTAGAGGAAAAGCTTTCACCTTTTCACCATTAAATATGATGTTGGTTGTGGGTTTGTCATATATGGCCTTATCAAGATGCGGTGAGTTCCTTCTATACCCACCTTGTTGAGAGTTTTTATCATAAATGGATGTTGAATTTTGCCAAATGCTTTTTCTGCACATACTGAGATGATCATATCATTGTATCCTTGGTTTTGTTGATATGATGAATCGCATTAATTGTTTTGTGGATGTTGAACCACCCTTGTATCCCTGGTATAAATTCCACCTGATTGCGGTGTATAATCCTCTTAATGTATTGTTGAATTTGGTTTCCTAGTATGTGTTGAGAATTTTTGCATCTATTGTCATCAGGGATATTGGTCTGTAATTTTAATTTTTTTTAGTTTCTTTGTCTGGCTTTGGTATCTGGGTAATGCTGACCTTGTAGACTGAGTTTGGATGCATTCCCTCCTGTTCAGCTTTTTGGAATTGTTTGAGAAGGATAGGTATTAATTCTTCTCTGAATGTTTGGTAGAAATAATCTGTGAAGCCATCTGGTCTGGACTTTTGTTTTTGGGGAGTGTTTTTTTATTACTGTTTCAATTTCATTGCTAGTAATTGGTCTGTTCAGATTCTCTGTATCTTCCTGGTTTAGTCTTGGAAAGTTGCGTGTTTCTAGAAATTATCTATTCTAAATTGTCTAATTTGTTGCCATATAATTGTTCTTACTATTCTTTAATGATCCTTTTTATGTTATGCTGGTTATAATCTCTCCTCTTTAATTTCTAATTTTATTTGGGCTTTTTTTTTTTTTTCTTGAGTATTCTTGCTAGAGGTTTGTCAATTTTATTTATTGTTTCAAAAAACCAGCTCTTTGTTTCATTGATCTTTTTTATTTTTTCAGTCTCTATTTCATTTATTTCCACCCTGATCTTTATTATTTCCTTCCTCTGCTTACTTTGAGTTTTGTTTGTTCTCTTTCTAATTTCTTTAGGTATAAAGTTAGATTTTTTTTTTTGTTTTAGGATTTTTCCTACTTCTTGAGGTAGGCCTGAATAGGTATGAACTTTCCTCTTACAACTGCTTTTGTTGCACCCCATAAATTTTGAAAAGTTGGATTTTCAGTTATCCCAAGGTAGGTTTTGATTTCCTCTTTGATCTATTGGTTGTTTAGTAGCCTGTTGTTTAGTCTCTCTGTATTTGGGATTTTTTTCAGTTTTCTTCCTGTAGTTGATTTCTAGTTTCATGCCACTGTGGTCAGAAAATATGCTTGATATGATTTCAGTCTCCTTGAATTTATCAAGGCTTGTTTTGTGGCCTAGTATGTGGTCTATCCTGGAGAATGTTCCATATGCACTTGAGAAAAATGTGTAATCTGCAGTTTTGGAGCAAAATGTTCAAAATATGTCTATTAAGTTGATCTGATCTAATGTGGCATTTAAGGCCATTATTTATTTTTCTCTCTGGATGATCAATCCATTGAGATAAGTGGAGTATTAAAATCCCCAACTATTATTATACTATTTATTAATATTTGCTTTACACGTATATACTTGCGTGGACTTATGTTGGGTGTGTAGATATGTGTATTTACAATTGTTATAACCTCTTCTTGGATTGACCCCTTTATCATTATGTAATGTCTTTCTTTGTCTTTTTTTTTTTTAAAGATTTTTATTGGGGAGTTGGGGGGATGGGAACAGCGCTGGGGAATTGGGGGAAGGGGAACAGACAAGTTGCTGTCGTTTTGTTCTTCAATCTAGTTGTGGAGGACGTTG